TCCAACAACAATGGAGTGTGTAAACCGAATGCACTCAAACAAACAAACAAATAATTACATTCCAATAACAATCCAGTGGAGACATTCATACTATAACGTGATTGAGATCCCCAAAAACAATCACGGATTCAATGTAAACATATAGCAATGACATAGAACACTAACCTCGAGTGTAGACGAAAAATGATTTCAAACTCGAATCCAATCGGGGAGAAATATCAAGTTCGTCAAATGACACACAATGTAGATGTTTTTCACTGTAAAACTGATCGAAAATGGTGTGCAGAGGTAGCTGTTGTCGTCGTTCTCGTCGTTGTTCTCAAAAACCCTGGTTGCGCGAGACGAGGGAGTGTGGCAGGGAGGGAATAAAAGAGACTTTTTACGTCGCACATCCCAGCACGCGACGTAAAAGGCCCTCTTTTACGTCGCACCTAGGTGGCGCGACGTAAAAGAGGCTTTTTACGTCGCGTGCTGGGGTGTGCGACGTAAAAGTTGTGTCCCTTATTTACAAAATTGCCACCGCGTTTTATTTATGTCGAATATTTTTACATGCGACGACAATTGGGTGACGTAAAAGCCCTTTTCTGCACTAGTGTATACATTAAATGACTTGATTCTTGTATCATAAATGCAAAGACATTTTATGTAGAAATATTGCAAGCCCTTGGAAGACTCTCCCTCTTATCCAGTGGGGGAATACAAATTCATAGATATAACCATGTGAAAAGATAAGGTTCTAATTGACATTGACTTTAGGTGATGACATACAAGAAGCTTAAATCAAGGCAGAGGTAGTTGGGAAGGGAGCATATTGATTGAAGACTTTGGATGGAGGAAGTATTCACATACAAGATCCTATGAGATTTTCTACAAAAGATTTTGAGTTAATATCGAACTCGTTATGATAAAAGTTATTGATATTATAACCATTTTTTACAAGAGTTTAAGCCTTAACATCTTTATCTCAAAGTTAAGGGTTGTGTAATGTCTAATTACCAACATTGATCTCTTAGTCTTAGGATTTAAGCCTCATAATGTCTTTGACTTGATGTTGAAAAATTGTATAGTGTTAGATCTCTAGCCTTAATCTTTTCTTGGTACATGTGGTCGATCATGAGCCTTTAAGGGACGAAGATAGAGTAATCTTGATAATCTAATCAACAATTAAGAATTGTTACTCCAATGAACGTCACGAATCAAATTATTTAATATATATAATGTTAAATTATCAAGATTCAAATCCACCCAAGATTAATTAACACATTAAAGTTTTAGATTAGTTTTTTTAAACTATGTTTTGGATTTAAAAATTAAATATTAAAATTTGAATTAATATTTAAAATTAATTATCAATTAATAAATATACACAATTATAAAATTGTTTTGTAATTTAATTATTTATGTATAATATATTTATAATTATTGAATATATTATTATAACTTTTAATTATAAAATTGTGTACTTTATTAATCATATAAAAAATTTAAATTATAAATATAATAATAATAATAATAATATAAAAAATTATGTAATACGTCTCTTTATTTCATAAAATTTTATTATAAAATCATTTAATAATTTAAATAAAAAAAAACATAAAACCCGAACTATCATCATTAGTTTAATTTAATTTATATTTAATATTAAGTTAAAATTCAATTATATTTTATTTTTATATTAATATTTGATTTAAATAATAATTTATTAAAAAAATCGAATCAATCTAAGTCATAAATAAGGAGTATCACATCATATACTCCTACAATATTAACAAAAAAAAGGTAAATAATAGATTTTGAAAAATTATAATTAATCTATTTTAGTTTTAAAAATATTATTTAGAGGTAAACAAATAAAAAAATGCATTTGTTTAAGAAAATTTGATATATCACTTAGGTAAAGGATTTTCTATGAATATAACTTAAAAGATGTAAATGATAAGTAAATATTTTTAAATACTCTTAAGAAGGATAACGTGAAGTTTGACTCAAAATTAACTAAAAATTAATCTAATTCTCGTAACTATTTATTTGCAAAATTATTTTACCATTCATAATTATAAAAATTATATATATATATATATATATATATATATATATATATATATTATTTTGAAACTTCATAATTAAATATTTATTTTCACAATCCCAGTAATTTTATAAAAATAATTTTTACTTTAGTTCTTTCATACAATCAAACTCACATTCGATTGTTCTAAAATTGATAGGGAACAACGAATTAATTAGGTACAAGTTAGAGTTATCGCCGATTTAAAAAATTTAAGGACGAAGCAGAGATATAATACAATCATAATTCAAATTTCATTCCTCTCTCTATTGGGAGTTTATATTTAAATCTAAATTTTAAAATATTAATTTTCTTTTTCTTTCTCATTTTCTAGAAAATTTAATTTATTTTTATATTATATTTTTAACTTTTCTCTTTCTTATTCTTCGTTCTTTTGTATTTTTCAATCTCTTTAATTAATTCAACACTTTTTTTTCCACCTTTCATCATTTATATTTTCTTAATCTCTTCGACAAGTTTAATAAATGCATGTTATACTTGTGATTCTTTATTTTTTTTTTCAAATATTATGTTTTAATCTTAATAATACCTAATTAATATTATTTTATTTTTAATTTATCTTTATTAAATTTTATAGTATGTTTTATTTTATTATTTTATTTATGTTTATCAAATTTTATAATAGTTATATTTTAAAGATTTGATAGTTTTAAAACATTAATAGTTGAAACATTTATTAAATATTTTTAATATATTATATATTATATATTTTATATTTATTAATATTTTTAAATAATAAACTTAAAAAGTAATTAATTTGTAACAAAAGTTTAAATATAATGTTATAATATAACAATAACAATGCTACAAGTATTCTATATTTATATATATAAAAAAATCAGATATTTTTTATAGTGATTTTAATGTGAATATAATATATTAAAATATATACTTAATTAATAATAATAATTTAAAAGATTTTAAATTTTAAACATTTATTTATATGTAAAATATATATAAAATAAATAAAATTAAAATTAACTTATGTATAATTTTTTTTTACTAAATAACATGGAATGAAGACGGAAATATCGGAGTTATGGAGGCAAAACCCGATCAACCCGTACCTAACCAAATTTCTTATGTTTTGTCATACAGGTTTTGTATGTTAAACCTAAAATTCAACTCAACCCACTAAATCACAATTATTAAATAATATAAATATAATAATTATTATTATTAATAAAATAATTATTATTTAATTTATCAATTTATTATAATATTTAAGTATGTATTTTTGAAATATTAGATTATTTAAATAATAAATAATAAATTCTACTTTTATATAAAAAAAAAACTAAAAATGTATATTTTAAAATTAAAAAATCTTTTTTTTTTAAATTGTGACTCAATTAATTTTATTCAATCTAACTGATTAAAAATAATTTGGGTTGGATTGAATCGATTAAAAAAATAAAAAAATGTTGAATTCAATTTAACCCAATCAAAATATATTTTTAATAGGTTGAATAATGGGCTTTGACATACTGAACTCATACAACCCATGTATACATCTATAAGTGAGGTTTATTTTACTTAATAGTTTGTTTCGATAGAAGTTTTTAAAACGATAATTAACTTTTATAGAGAATTAAATTGTTTCATAAAAAAATATTGTTTTGGTAGAGAATTTTAAAAGAAATTAATTTTTTAAATTTATTTGAGTAACTGGATTACTTAAAATTAAAAAAAATATCTAAAAGTAAAAAATTACAAATTTTCACATTATTTCTCCTCATATTTTTTATTTTTGATTTTCGTACTTTTTCATTGATTCTATCCTAATGCGTTCTCGCGCTAACTTATTATTTAAAATGAAATAAATTTAAAATATTTAAAATTTCTAAAATATGTAAAATTTTATATAAAAGTATTATTTATTTGTTTGTTTATTATGCTTATATGTTAATCTTTTACTATTAATTTTTTTTAATTTATCGCTAACAGAATACTACTTTTGTTTAATATTTCTTATTTAAAATATTTTAACGTCTTGACGGAAAAATGAAATGGAATTTTGGAATTGCATTTTAATACTTTTGTTTAACGTCTTAACAGAATACTACTTTTGTTTAATACTTTTACTATTCCATTTTAATTGCATTATGTGGAATCTGAAAATAAATGATGAACGAGTTTTATATGAATTAGTTTTTAAAATATTTCAATTTATTGATGGTAATAACTAAGTATATTTAGAGAAGTATTTTGAAAAAATAAAAATAAAAATAGATTGACAATCTATTGTTAATAAATATCTATTCAACTATTCATGTATTAATAAAATAATAATTTTAATTAATTTAATTTAAAATTAATCACTTTAAAAATATAATATTAATGCATAAAATTATATAATGAATATTTTTTTTAATATCAAAATATCTCTCATTTTGGAGAATAATTTTTAACAACTTATTCTACATTCGAATTGTCACGTCATAATATCACTTGAAGATAAAATTTGATTTGTTCGGTGGTCGAGACTCTCTTCCTATTAAAAAAATTCGAATTGTCACATCATAATAATTTAGAATACATCTAATGTTAAAGACGCTTTAGCTAGGAGTTTTTGAGATCACATATTTATTGCTCACAGTTGTTACATATCCCAAGAAACCTTATCAAAGGTTATTATATCTCATTGGGCAAGTGTTTTCTTTCTCTTTCTTCCGCATTTGAATAACAAGCGTCTTGTTTATATTTTCGCTTTTCCATTTTTGAGTATGAGTCCTCTTTAATCTTCCTCTACATACATTATCGTGTTTTTCGGTGTCTATTTTCTTGTTCTAGGTGTATACCTGTCAAACTTTGCTTCTCCTGTGATTTTGTTCTATTTGCATGATGTCCTCTTTCTCTGGTTTTGGTTCCTCCCAGTGGCTTCAACAACGTAGTATCCATTGAATGACCATTAATTGGACAAGAAGTTAATTCCATTGGACTCTATAAGAGAAGATTCTCTGAATCTTAGAGCAGTATATCCCGTGTAGCATCGCAACGGGGATGGAGTGGAGGCGGAGACAGATTTTGCCGACCTTGTCTCAACTTTGTAATAGTTTCCGTTCTCCTCTCATATCTAAGAAAAAATAATTATATTTATAATACACTAATTTTAATATTTTCATCTATTTTTATATATAAATAAATATTTATAATTTTTTAAATTTATAATAATTATTAATTAAATATATATTTTAATTCATTATATTTAATATTATAATATATATAAAAAATATTTAATTATTTTTTTATATCATATGAAATATTTATAATAATAATAATAATATTATTATTATTATTAAATTCAAATATTTGATTACATAATTTATAAAAAAATATTTAATAAATTATTTTTTATTTAATTAGTTCAGAATAATAAAAATTTAAATTATTAATTTTTTTAATTATTTAAAATACAAATATTTTATTAAGATAAAATTTGATATATGATAAATAAGAATAATAAAATGTAAAATATATGATATAATAAAATCTAATGAAGATAAATTATAAATAAAATAATATTGGTTATTATTAAAATTTATATAAAATACTTAGACAAAGATAAAAAAGAAGAAAAATTAATTTTGTGATCATTAAATTGGTTGAAAAGATTAAAATAACAAATTGATTAGAAAGATTAAAAAAATCTTAAAAAGTGAAAGATAAGAGAAAAATAATAATATAATAAAGTAATTGATATACAAGATTAAAAAAGATAAAAAAATTAAAAAATAAGTAAAAGAAAAATAAAAATAGTGAAATATAAAAATATGATATTATATATAATAGAAAAAGAAAAGAAAACATTTTTAAAATCACTACAAGAAAAATCGCTTTTAGCGACCGAAAAAATCGATCACTAATGGCCAAAATTCGATCGCTATTATCATTAGCGACCGAAATGGTTGGTCGCAAAGGGCAAGTCGCTAAGTTGTTAGCGACTAGATTTACATTTCGGTCGCTAAATAGCGACCGATCTGGTGGTCGCTAAAGTGGTCGCTAAATAATTTGGTCACTTATTCATTGGAGACCAAAATAGCGACCGAATTCAATGATCGCTAAATCGGTCAGCTAAATCAGTGGTAAAGTTTTAAAAAATAGCGACCAATATATTCGATTAGCTAATATATTAATATAATTATTTAAATAATAATTAAAATCGATCAGCTAAATCGGTCAGCTAAATAGCGACGAAATGAAAATCGATGGCTAAATAGAGACCGATTTAAATCGATCGCTAAATCAATGACAAAGGTAAAAAAATAGCGTACGATTTAAATCGGTCACTAAATCAATGAAAAAGTTAAAAAAATAATCAATAACAAATTTAATTATTTTTATTTATTTACATTTTTATTATATTTATTATTTATTTCCCCTACCTCTTAATTATATTATATTTTTGCTTATATTATATTTTTTAGAAGTTTAACTTATTATTAGGTAATTTATTGTCATTGTCAAGATTCGAACCGAGTACCTTAGAGTTGGAGACTGAAACTCCAACCAGCTGAGCTACTAGGATCTTTTAATAATAACTTACAAATAAATTATATTTATATACAAATAAATGTATATCAGTATAAATATATAAATATAAAATCTATAAATAAAAATATATTTATATATTTTAATATATATTTAAATATTAATATATTTATATATTGATATATTTATATCTTTATATTTTTACATATATTTATATTTTTATATATTTATATCTTCATATTTTTACATATATTTATATCTTTTCATATTTATATATAAAGATATTAGTTTTCTATATAAATAATATTATAATATAGTATATTATACTATTAGTATAGTATACAAATAATATATTAGTATAGTATAGTATACAAATTATTAATTTTGTAATTTATATACAATGAAAATAATATAATGGTATATTAGTATAGGATAGTATATTTGTATTCTAATTTTTAATTAAATTAAAATTATGCTAATAATGTATATTAATATATGAGGGGATAATATTGATATATTGATATATTTGTATATATATATATATATATATATATATATATATATATTTATATATTTATATATTTATATATTTATATATTTATATATTTATATATTTATATATTTATATATTTATATATATATATATATATATTTATATATTTATATATTTATATATTTATATATTTATATATTTATATATTTATATATTTATATATTTATATATTTATATATTTATATATTTATATATTTATATATTTATATATTTATATATTTATATATTTATATATTAATATATTTATATATTAATATTTTGATATATTTATATATTGATATATTGATATATTTATTTATATCCTTATACATTTATATCTTTATATATATTTATATATTTGAAAAAAAATATTAAATTTTAAAAATAATATTATATTTTTAAAAATAAATATTAGAAAAAGATTTAAAAATATATATAAATTATATTTACATGTACAAAATATTAAAGATATATGTTTATATCTTTACATATTTATATATATTTATATGTTTATATTTTTACATATATTTATATCTTTCCATATTTATATATTTATATATAAAGATATTAGTTTTGTATACAAATAATATTATAATATAGTATATTATACTATTAGTATAGTATACAAATAATATGTTAGTATAGTATAGTATACAAATTATTAATTTTGTAATTTATATACAATGAAAATAATATAATGGTATATTAGTATAGTATATTTGTATTCTAATTTTAAATTAAACTAAAATTACGCTAAATGTATAATAATATATGAGAGGATAATAAATTTAATCCAATTACTTTTATAAATATATAAATATAAAATCTATAAAATATTAAAAATGATATTATATTTTTAAAAACAAATATTAGAAAAAGGTTTAAAAACATGTATAAATTATATTTATATGTCCAAAATATTAAAGATATCCACATTTAAAACAATATTAAAAAATATTAATAATAAATTTAATTCTTTAAATTTAGTATTTAGAAACTAAAATTATAGTTTTTCTGTTTTTAAAAAATTAAAATAACTATTTAAAAATAAAAATCAAAACTAGTATTATCTTAAATTTATTAAAAGTGTAATTAAATCTCTATTTTCTTAATTTTATTTGTTTCAAACATCTCAATTCTACATTTTTGTAAGTTATATCATTATATTATCATCCTCATCTCCTCCCATGTTCTACTTTATCTTTACAATAGTCAATATTCTTAACTAATTTATATTTTTATTTATAATTTTTTAGTATATATTTCGAAATTAATCAATTCTAATCTATTCTTTGAAAAACTAATCAATTCTAATCAATAATTTATAAAACTAATCGATTATAATTAATTATTTGAAAAAATTATCAAATATGATCGATCATTTCGAAAATCTAATCGATCAGAGCAAAAAATCGCTCGAGCGAGACTATAGTCGCTCAAGCGAAATACAACCCAAGAATGCCAATTTTGTGCAGGGGCGTTTCGCTCGAGCGATTTTATTTTCACTTGAGCGAATAAGACTTCTAATAGCGGTTAACGCTTAACCGCTATCTAAAATATGATTTAGATAGCGGTTAACCCATAACCGCTATCTTAAATACATTTTAGATAGCGGTTAACCCCTAACCGCTATTATATCCTCTAAATTATGATCGATCACTTCAAGTTATGATCGATCAGAATCGTATTTCGCTCGAGCGAGAGTAGTGTCGCTCAAGCGAAATACAACCCGAGAATTCACAATCTTAAAATATTTTTTTGAATATTATGTTTTTAAATTTGCTATTAGAGAAAACCTTTCAGAATTCAAAATGTTAAATAGTTTTAAATATTAAAATTAACTTTATCAAAAATTAGGAAAAAAAATTTATCCAAAAGAGTTCAAAAATGTATAAGAGTATTCTCAATTTTGAGTTTAATTATATTGTTCATTCTCAAAGTAGAAAATTATATTGTAATTATTTTAATTTACATTTTGTGATCTTCTTAAAATTAGCATCAATAACATTAGACTTTACATTTGATTCATACCTAACTAATTATAGATTAAAAGGAAAGTGGTATAACCATGCATTTTACTTTTCTATTTACCTTATTCTTTTAATTATTTTATATAATATTTACCTTATTCTTTTAATTATTTTATATAATAATAATCAAAATATTCACATTCATATGGGCGTTTTCGAAAAAAATAGTATTGTATTATTGTTAAAATTAGCATCAATAACATTAGACTTGATCTTCTTAAGTATATTGTTCATTCTCAAAGTAGAAAATTATATTGTAATTATTTTAATTTAATAAAATATAATTTAAATTTTTAATACTAAAATTAAAAGATTAAATAATAATGACTTTAATTCTTTAAATTGAGTATTTAGAAACTAAAATTATAGTTTCTCTGTTTTAAATAATTAAAATAAAAATCAATATCAAAACTAGTATTATCTTCATTTTTTTTGTTTCAAACTTCTCAATTCTACATTTTTGTAACTTCTATCATTATATTATCATCCTCATCTCATCCCATGTTCTACTTTATCTTTACAATAGTTAATATTCTTAAATAATATATATTCTTAATTATAAATTTCATAAATTAATACATTCTAATCTATTATTTGAAAAACTAATCAATTCTAATCAATAATTTAGAAAACTAATCGATTATAATTAATTATTTGAAAAAATTATCAAATATGATCGATCATTTTGAAAATATAATCGATCAGAATCAGATTTCGCTCGAGCGAGGCTAGAGTCGCTCAAGCGAAATACAACCCGAGAATGTCAATTTTGTGCAGGGGCGTTTCGCTCGAGCGATTTTATATTCGCTTGAGCGAAGAACACTTTTGATAGCGGTTAACGCTTAACCGCTATCTAAAATATGATTTAGATAGCGGTTAACCCATAACCGCTATCTTAAATAAATTTTAGATAGCGGTTAACCCCTAACCGCTATTATATCCTCTAAATTATGATCGATCACTTCAAGTTATGATCGATCAGAATCGTATTTCGCTCGAGCGAGAGTAGTGTCG